AAATCGTTATTCGTAAATAACGAATAATTTTCCCTGGAATAAAATCGTTATTCGTAAATAACGAATAATTTTTCCTCAAATGAAATTGTTATTCGTTATTTACAAATAATTTTCCCTCGAATAAAAACGTAAATAACGAATGATTTTCCCTCGAATAAAATCGTTATTCGAAAACAACGAACAATTTTCCCTCGAATAAAATCGTTATTCGTAAATAACGAATATTTTTTCCTCAAGTAAAATTGTTATTCTTTATTTACGAACAATTTTCCCTCGAATGAAATCGTTATTCGTAAACAACGAACAATTTTCCCTCGAATGAAATCGTTATTCGTAAACAACGAGCAATTTTCCCTCGATTGAAATCGTTGCTCGTCATTTACGAACAAGTTTGACAGATTTGTTCGTTGTTCGTTGTTCGAATGAGAAATATGCCCAACTCTCGTTATCGATGACAGCACCGCGGCCAAGATTTTTTTCACACTTGGCCGCGATTTCGGCGTGTGGGTGGCTCGACCTCATCGAGAGATTTATCTTTTCTACTATTCGCGATAAAAACGTTACTCGGTACCGGGTAGCGAGACTCCGTTTCCTCGTCAGCGATTGGCGTTCGTTTCAGAGCGCACAATCGACGGCACCATAGACCTGCGCCGAGAAATTTCGTCGCTAACGGTGAAGAGTGGAGGTGGACGAAGCCTTTGGTCATTGCATAATACCAGCAGCGGCGCGGCGCGGTCCGAGAATGAGAGAGGAACGCTTCTGAGGATCATGCTTGGACACCCGGTATGTACTTTTTCTTTTTCTTCTTTCTTCCGTGACAATTAAACACCGTTTGATCGAACGCAATTGAGAAAGTGAAAGCTGAGCGGAGGATTGTTAAACGAGTTTGTTATAAACGATTAATACTGCAATTTAAGGTGTTAGAGTGAAAGATTTAAGAGGACAGTGACGCGAGAACAATAATACGAATTTACGAATTTAAAGTGATTGAAGGAATAGAGGGATTGACAGTTAATTAAATATCGCGGTTATTGCATTTTATAATACTACTCTGTCGCTTTGCACGTATTTTGAGATGTTCACGGTGATGTACAGTGGAAGATTTAGGAGGACGATACGAGAGAATAATTAATTTGCAAGTTTTCGTGAACTGAGAAGAAATAGAGAGATTATGATAATAATATACATAATATAGATATAATAATAATATAATATAAAGTTAAATATAAAGTGTATATATATAATACAATATAATAATATATTAATAAAGTATATTAATATTTAAATAAATTCTTTGTTGTATAATATAATATAATAATAATATATATAATATAAAGTTAAATATAAAGTATATATATAATATAATATAACAATATATTAATAAAAATATATGAATATTTAAATAAATTCTTTGTTACAGAGTGGGACATAAATAATCCCACCAACTAACGTTTCAAATAAAATTCATTGAAACACATCTTTTTTCCAAAAAAAAAAAAAAAAATATCCCACCGTGCATTAACTATCAAAAAAAAAAAAAAAGTAGAACAATTTTAAACCCAGCTAACCTCAAAGAAGCGAGCGAGAATTTTGGATGTCCGTGAGAAAGATGCGTAGTAGGTCCGAGAAACGATCAAAAACCACGCGCGAATAAATAAGCCGCGTTAAGCCGCTTTTGCCAGTGAAATTCGATTATGGCACAACGGCACAATGTTCGATTGTCACGGCACGTGGGTCATTCAGCTTCTTTTTCGAAGCGTGGCGAGTGAAATGACTCTCATCTAGAATTTTGACATTGAATCGGCGGAACGTTGTCTTATCTAATCTTATCTAATCCGAGGAAAATTTCTGGTGATCTCTTTTACTTTTTCTGTCTCATTAGCAAAAGCCTAGATAAAGCGAGATATTGTAAGACGCAACAGCGCGATCAAGAAGAACGAGGAATTTTAAGCGTGAATGTGAATAGGAATTACCATGAATGTGAATAGGAATTACCGTGAAGTTTGTTTTATGGTTTCCAATGGGACTCTTTGTTAAGGATTCGGACTGTTGAAAATTTCTAAAATAATTTCAAATTCGAAATTCGAACGAATTTATTGTTCGTGCAAAGTCGGAATTCGAAAATTTCCGGTTTATTTACGGTGTTAAAAATGAAGACAATTATCGTTCGTTTGTGAAAATAATCGCCGAAAATTCGTAAAACAATTTCAATCGAGATTTCTTCTAAACGAAATCAATGAAATTCTCCAATTTGATTGAAATTCAAGCTCACGTTCTAAATTGTGAAATTTGAATAATTTCCAATTCGCTGAAATTTCTGACGTTATTAATTATCTTTCTTAATTATTTTTCTAAACTTTGGGCTATCTTGTCTTATCCTGAAACGTCGTGAGCGAATTTTCAAATTAACCAAAATTAATAAATTAATAAATAAATTTCTTTGAAATTAATAAATTAATAAATAAATTTTTTAGACTTAATAAATTAATAAATAAATTTTTTAGACTTAATAAATTAATAAATAAATTTTTTAGACTTAATAAATTAATAAATAAATTTTTTAGACTTAATAAATTAATAAATAAATTTTTTAGACTTAATAAATTAATAAATAAATTTTTTAGACTTAATAAATTAATAAATAAAT